ACCTGATGACACAGCGGACCCTGTGGATTTCTAAGAAAGTATAGAAACACAGCAAGATATTCCTGAATAATCTAAAAGAGAAACAGAGGAAAGAGTGATGAATTTGGGGTAAGAAGATTTCATGGCATTTACCGCTTGTCTGATCTTCAGCAAATTGCTTAATCTTTTTTGTCTGAACGCAAACATAAAAGGAGGTGGGGGTGGCGTTAATATAGATGATTTTTTTAGGTCCTTTCCAGCTCTAACCTTATGATGCTAAACTTTATGTCAGAGAAAGATGACTTCTCTATAGTAATAGGCACCTAAATCCACATATCCAGATGCTGGAGTAACGGTCTATCAGACAAACCTGGATCCTATTTCTAAAAAAGATCACAGAATATGTAAATTGGGAAGCCAAACAATGCTTCTATTTCCAGTAAAACTACTAAACTGTGGAGATGTTACTCACGTAGAGTTGAAAGGCACTTCCAGGGCTATTTAATTCAATCCCCTCACTTTATAGGTCTTTTTTTTTTTTTTAAAGCTAGGCAATGGGGTTAAGTGACTTAACCAGGGCACACAGTTAGTAAGCATCAAGAGTCTGAGTCCAGATTTGAACTCAGGTCTTCCTGACTCCAGGGCTGGTGCTCTATGTACTGCACCACCTAGCTGCCCCTCCCCTCACTTCATTGATGGAGAAAATAAGGCCCACAGAGGTTAAGTGATTTTCCCAAGGTAATTACAGAGTGAGCATCAGAGGCAAAATTTGAAGCCAGGTACTTTGACTTTGATAGAGCCAGGGCCATGGTTGTATCTATCATACTATATTTCTAGCCCTTCACATTTCTCTAGAAGAGCTAAAAGGAAAATATGCTTGTCTAAGATTGATTCTGCCAGAGAACAGGGTCAAATAGGCAAGGGTAAGCTCTGCCTGGATCTGTAAGGTTAGGGGTAAAAACTCTTACTTGCTGCTGGGGAATCCAGCCATCTATGCAATTTATTTCTGTCAATTGCCTTAACTGATTGACATGTTTACTTGAGAACCCTGAAGCAGCCTCACCAGTTGTCCATATGCAAAGAATATAGGATCTTTCTTTAGATGTGTTTTGGATTATTGACATATTATATTTTTAACCCACTGTAAATAAAGTCAGGGTTAAATATAATACTTTAAGCTTATTCTGAACTAAGAGAGGGCAAAGGAAACATTGTGGATACTTAAGGCCAAATTCAAAAAGCTCAATTGCTGTGATTTCTTACACCTCTCAGAGTTGTTTTATGAGTTTCTTTGCCTTAAGGATGTCAAGGAAGGATTGAGTTATTAACTTATTCTTTGTGTGAAGACAGTAACAGTTTTTCAGTCAAAGACAACTCTAAGTCCTGGAATTAAACCATTTCAAAATGGGCAGTCAAGTCACCAGCTGAATATGGAAAAATATAAGCTTTGGGAAGGAAAGAATCTTTGTAGTTCTGAAGCCATTAGGCGAGAGAGCAAATCTGAAAAAAACAAAAAACAAAAACAAAAACAAATGCAGCAAGTAATTGATGATGCATTATAAAATGGCTGCTGGTATTATGTTCCTGGAAAGAAATGAATTTGAAATGGCCATTGGAATTTTGTAGCTCTCCAGGGCTCCAAGAAAAATCTTCAGGATTCTTTGCAAGTGAAAGTATTCTTCAGGTCTATTGCAGATATGATTACCCACTCCTTCAACTAGCTGACCACTTCTGGAATATAAACAGTTAGAGATTGGAAGGGCAGGGGGCCTTGACTGCCCTTCCTCTAGTGAGCAAGTGTACGAGATCATCATAGCCATGGATTTAGAGGTAGAAGGGCCCTTAGAGACTTCATATTCAAGGAGGAAAAGGGGGAGGGAACTCCAATGAGTGACACTGCCACACTGGGCAGATGCCAACGGGAACAGCATGGAGGTGCCCCTTCCATTGTCCCAAGCTCCATAGGTAGACTAATGACTCTGACGTGCAAAAAGATGCTCACTCTGATCCTCAGGCTCCAACCACTTTAAGGCTTAAACTCGATGTGACATTAGTGGAAGTCTGGCCCGTTACCTGTGGGGCAAGGCAATGGTGTAATCAAAAAACCAAAGTATTATCTGAGTTGCCTAATAAGTAATTAGGAGTAAGGGGCAGGGACTCAGGAAATGTAACTCTGTGCCACATCAGGCAAGTGTCTAGGAAATGGGGAAGTGCTTAGTCTTTCGGTCAGCTGAGCCTTCATATACATGCGTCCTGGGTCGGGGTTCGGGGCCATACTTGTCAAACCAGTTTTCACTAGCACACAATATGGTCCAACTCTCTCATTTTAAAGATGAGGAAACAGGCTCAGAGAGGAAGTAACGTGACCAAGTACAGCTAATAAGTGGCAATCAGAAGGAACCTAATGTTCTTTCCACTCTTATCAGATGTTTTCCTGGAAACCCAACCCCTCTCTCTTCTAACGGGTACAGTGTTCTTCCAGAATAAGCTCCAGTGATCACATCAACCTCCTATGGAAATAAAGTTCTTCAGGAGAGCTCTACCATGGTGGCAGTGAAGGAAGGGGACACTTTCCTCTCCAAATCAAGCACTTTATCCCCTTTTGCTGGGCTGAAACATGCCACACTACTATTGTTTAATGCCACATAAGAGAGATCCCGTATAAGCCCCCAAATGTACCAGGGTTTTACGGTTGACACCTCTCTTGTGTAGCCTATATAGGGTAATCACCCTCATTTCTAATGAACGGTTCGTACTTTCATTCATCCTCATCTTGCATTCTAAGGCAATCATAGGGTATTATTATATTTCCTCATAAATGACAAATTTTAAAAACTCAATAATCAACCAGCTTTGAGCCCTCACACTATTAAATGTTATTTATTAAACTGGAAAAACATCTTGTCTCCTAACATTTTGCTCATCTCTCTAATCAAACTACCTTATATCCTAGGCCCAAATAAATATTAAGGTTAGTGCTACAGAATTTATTAAGCATAGCAAACAACAAAACAAATACAAGTTAATTATAACATATTAGCTGTGAAAAAGAAGAAAGTGTCATAGGTCAACATTAGTCAAATGAGGAAGGCATAAATTAATCCCTAACACTCCCACATCATCAACCAGGACTACTTCAAATAAGAAAGTTGGGGGAGACCTGGGGCACTTTGGGTTAGAGTTGCTTCCAAGTAGAACTGACCAGGGAGAGATCCATCTATTGGCCCTTTAGGCAAGGAGAGTATAAAGTGTTCTTTGGACATTGGCAAGGAGCTCCTGAGACCTGAGAAAAACTTCTTACCGTCTGCTTTTAACCTTCTTGATAGTGGTTTTTATCTTACTGAATTACTTTCACGTAAAGGCACCGGAATACATTTTTTGGTACAAGATTGCCTGAATCCTCGGTGTCCAGAATGATTCACTGCACCAGATATGGAACTCAGACACACAGCCTGAGCCCCCTCTAAGTATCACTACCACTATTTACTTCCTCAGTTCTGGAGACACAGTGTTACCACTCTGCTGTCTCAGAATACCAATTAAAAATAAAATTCTCAAGAATTCTCTTTATAGATACTTCTTTGTAAGAGTGTAAACCAGTTCTCAAGAGAGTTGTCCTAATTCTCTCTGCACCTCAATCACTCACTTTCTCTCTATCAGAATGAACAGATAATTCTGAATGAGTATAACCGCTGTGTCTCAGGATTCCATTTCCTCTTAAAGATACAGTATCCCGGTTCGATGGGATAGGATATTGAAATTGGTGTCATATTTCTAGTATGTAGCAGGCAGTAAAGTTTGCTACCTCCCCACCAAAATCTTAATAATGCTGTTCTGTATAGCAACGTACTACATCGTAATTCAACATAAACTATGTTTTAATACTTCTAGTTCCTAATCAATATACCCTGGTGGTTATTTGTTTATGAGCAGGAGAGTTTTCAAGGAGTAAACAGTTTATGATTTAAATATTTCTGGAAAATATCCATTAAGATATTTTAATCCTACTATAGCTAACAATTATACATACGTCACTTTAAAGTTTGCAAAGAGCTTTACCTAAAATCATCTCATTTCATCTTCACAGCAACCATGCACAATAGGTTGCTGCTATTATCACCATTTTACAGATGAAGAAACTAAATCTGAGAGAGGGTAAATGGCTTATCTGAAGTACCCTCAGCTAGCAAGTGTCTGGGGCAGGATTCAAACCCTGGTCTTCTTGACTTCCAGTGCTGGCCTCTATCTACTAACACATTTAGCTGCCCATAATGTAGTCTACAGCAATATATTTCAATACCTCAATTGCTCTACTACCAACTTATTTAGAACAAATATCAATAGCTATCACAATGTCATCACACTGGTCTGTCCACATTATTCTGAATTAAAAAAAGAAAACCAGCTGTTCAGAACACGTATGTGCTGAAGGAGTCACGTTAGAGATTATCTGGGTGCAAAAATGTAACTTCTCATAACAAGATTTGGCTCTGCAAGTAACAAGAGGTTAGAAAGAATAAATGAATCAAGGTATCATAGATCTGAATCCCTGTGGCTGCTTATTTAATTACAGGTATTCATGGCAGCCTTTGTGTATCCTACCTGCTAATAACTGTTAGCCAGAGATGACCAGAATCCCTGTGATCTTTCTTCACAGTCCGTAAGTGAAACTAATGATTCCGATTCTCATCTTTACATTTTCCTACCTCTCTGGCCTTGAAAACTGGCTAAGCTCTTCTATTGGATTCTCCTCATCTTATCTTCTATTCTCATGGGAAATTCCCCATGATGACACCCCATTCTACCCTTGACCAACCTCCATGCAACAGCTGTAATATGAACTTGGGTCAACTGCTTACAAAACAACTGGTTTTTATCGCTATACCACAACTGTATGTGGCCCATGGGATAGGCTAACAAAAAATTAAATTTTTATGCAAATATTTTGCAAAATAAAAGAGGTACTTTTTCATATCTTTTGAAGTAAAAATCCTCCTGAAAAGAGACCAATAATTACTCAATTTCATCAAAAGCAGTGGTTTATTATTGAATTTGTACTTGAAATATTCACATCTTAGATTCATTTCAACAAACATTTATTAAAAATCTACTTTGCACCAGGCACTTGTACTATGTGTTAAGGCTACAAAGACTAAAACAAAACTGGCTCTGCCCTCCAAGAGCTTACAGTCTGCTAGAACACTCATTTTCATTTCCAAAAGTTCATTACACTGTCATAATACTTGAAAACTTTATGTTTAAACTTGAAACAAGGACACTGAACATTAATTCTGTCAAAACAGTGCTACCAATACTAAAAAAAGAAAATGCACCGTTACAGACTCATGATAGATTTTTATTCAGCAGAAGCAGCAACAGAGTAAGAAATCTGATGCTCCTTTTAACAACGAGATCTTGAGTGACATGGAGATGTTGACGAGCTTAGGTGGGCTGTTTGCCTTTGTCCACTGGTGAAGGTTCATGCTGTTGACAAGGCTGAGGTTGAGTTTCCATTTCTTCTTCCAATTCTACGATGAGTGGAGCAGAAGCCTTGGGAGACTGTGAAGAACTGACTGGCTTTTCTTGACCAATATCACATGTCCAGATGTCGGGTTTTATATAAAATTCAAGAGCATCAGTATTCAGGGTTGCATTTTCTTCCAAAGAATTGATTTTCCCACCCTCGCAATCTGCAGGCTTAGCTCTGTCCACACTCAAGTCTTCTGTCTTAGATGACGAAATCTCGTCTGATTTGGCAGAGCCCCCTGGGAGTGAATCTAAGCCAGAGAGTTGCTGACTGGAAACTGACCAGGGGACTTCTAACTCAGTTTCTTCCCCCTGCACAAGCAGTGCGGCTGATTCCAGCTCTTCTATTTCCAACCCCAGCTGACCCTTTGTAAGGTAAGTTCTCTGCAGAGTTTCAGCAAGGCTTGCCAACTTTCTGGACCTTAAATAAACAAAATTAAAGATACATTAGACAACTCCACAAAAAGTGTTTTTTTCCTTGGGTGAAAATCATGGCTTATATATTTCAAAGTGGCTCCTCTCCTGAATCACTTAAGTTATAAACACTGAATAAATTCATTATTAAGGCAGAACTTTTTAAAAATGCAAAATGTCAACACAAAGTACATAGTCATACAGCATCCTCCCTATCCCTGACAAAAATCTCATCCCCATCTTTCAGAGAAAAGCTACAGGCAGTGGCTTCAGCAACACAGCTGGGAGATGGGGAGAGATATACAAACGCATAACATATCCATGGCTAGAAGGCAAAATGGGGTTGGAGTGCACATTGAAGGTTAGAGCACACAGGTTCATCTTCATTTGTGAAAATGCAGACACAATCACGTATTACTATTTCTACAATAGACTTCAGTTGTTTGGTACAATACAATGTTATGCAGGTCAGAAGGTGGATCAAATTTATAATGGTGTGAACCAGCCACAGTAAGAGTGTCAATGGTGGGACTGATGTTCTCATAGGCCAAGTTAACTCTGTGCTAGAGTACAAGAATTTCCAGAGAGCCCAGGAAACAGAGGAGGTAAGTTTGGTACAGAGGAAGAAGACTGTGAGATCAGTTGGAGTGAATTACTCATTTCTGAAAGGGCTGTAAAATTGCTTTTGTCCAACAATTCAAAAGCACAGGAAGCATTCTTTAAAGTGTAGTTCCAGAATTAACTTGATTTATTTAACAGGATGGCATCTACACACCCAAAGTTGTGCATGGCACCAGTTACATTTAAAACCATGGCACAGAAGACCAATGGAGATCTAGATTACACACATCCTCATTTTACAAGACGTCAGGGCCCAGCTTCCATCCTCTATTATTAATAATAGTCCTAACTGAAGCATAGACTACAAACAATCCAAGAAATGGGAAATGGAAACCGTGAGAAAAGAGTCAGTGTAAATGTCTGAAATGAGCACTGTGATATTAGCAAGGAGGACTGAAGGCACAGAGTTTTGACTTCAATGAAAACATATACAATCTTTCATTCCTGAACTATTAAAAAAACTTTTATTAAGTCCATTTTCACTGCATTCCTCTTACAACATGGGCTTCATTCATTATAAAAGACCCCTACAGACCCCTTCTCAAAATAACTTTTATAAATGCATAAAATAAAATAGATTATACAAAGGACACCAATTATATTGAAATACAGTTATCAATGTTTAAAAAAAAAAAAGTTAATGAGCTTCAGGTTAAGAACCCCTGATACAGAATGAACAAGCTGAGCACATGTTAATCAGTGTGAAGAGATCATCTGGTGAAAGCAAACTTCTGGGTGGTGACAACTGGTGGAGGTTAGGGAGCAGAGGGCAGTGGCGGCTTCTGTGTTGGGCCTGTAAAGTTTAACGGGATGTACACAGATGTCTAGTTAGCCACAGTCATTCCTTATACTGCCACTGAGCCTACTACACAATCTATATTAGCATGGGAGTCAGCAGGAAGAAGTGAAGACATTTATGTAGTGCTTTAAAGTTTCCTGATTACTTTATCTCTCCCTTGCAACCATCTTAAGAGCGTTTCTTAAAGGTGAGGAGATGGAGGCTAACATATTGACTTGCCCATGTTCACAGACTTAAGCCCAGCTTTCTCTTGAACTCTGGACCAGAATTTTTTCCACAATGCCATGGTGGATCCATGTCATCACATTCACTTTGTCAGCTGCCTTGTCTGAATTTTATCAGCTAAGATTTACTCCCAATGATCATTCGTAGCAGAGGAACTTCACTGGGGCAGTTGAACCACGCATAGAACAAAACCACATGAGTTTTAATTTTATATGCAAATGTTCTTTTGAAATCAAATCTGATTTAACGAAAATTCAGTTATTCAATATACCAGACAAAAAGATAGACACTTGCCATTTTAGTTAAGAGTCCCAAGTTACAGCAAGGCCCTTATCTTAATTCTTACTTTCAAATACTCTTTACTGATTTCCTTTTCCCAAGTAACACCTCCAAAATTCCCAAATCATTCGCCTCTAACCTTGGTTCCCAGACCCTGGATTGCCTTATCAGATGAACTAGAGAAATGACAACCATAAGCGTGGTTTCAACCCAAACCGCCAGGACCCTAAAAAAGACAGAGCAAGCTGTAGTTCCCCTGGGTCCTCCTGGAGTAGCAGCTGATAGAACCTTCTAGGCTCCTTAAGAAAAAGTTTAAAGGGACTAACCCACAATATAACATAACACGGGCAGAAGATACTATACTATAGAGTGACAAAAGTGGCAGGCTTTGAATCAGGAACCAGGTTTTATTTCTCTTTCTGCTGCTCATGAGCTCTGAGACCTCCAAGCAAATCAACTCACTGTTCTGCCTCATTATCTCACACTTGTAAAATGAGGGTGACAACCACCTGACCTCCCCAATTCAGTCAGATGTTGTGACTGCAGCTAGAGACATACACAGGATGCTTTCCAAACCCCTTAGAAAGGGTGCTTAGAAAAAGGTGCTTTATAAACATTTATGAGTATCACTGCTATAGAACAGAAGTCCATTGCCTAAGGAATAAAAGTAAGGTTCATTTGGACTCCATTTCCCTAGACAAATTGCTTAGTAATGACATCTGAAGAACAGGAAGCCATCCCCTCCAAAAAAGCAACACCACAAAGTGCATTGGTCTTCTCAGTCATTGATAAAACCGTAAATTGGTTTTAAAGCTGCCATTCCTTATGGAGCCCATACTGTGCTATTTTAATGGACTCACCTCAGAAAGCACCTACTTTAAAACAGTCAGTGCTTTCTCTATTCATTGTAATACTCATGAGGACTAGAAAACTTTCACATCAAGAAATATACATGCAAAATAAATAACATCATTATTTAATGAAAATCCTAACAAAATCTTGTAATGACAGAGTTGGAATGGACCCAAGGGATCAGACAGAATATATACACTCAATATTTAAAAAAAAAAAAAAAAAACCTCCCAGTTATCATTTATCTTTCTCTTGCCATGAACATACATCCAGTGCTTAGCATGGCATCTGGCACATAGCAGGCATTTAATAAATGTTTATTGACTGACTGACATTAGGAACATAAGGATCTTTGCCTAATGACAATGAGTTCACTGATGAAAGACATGACAGGACAACTAATGTGAGCTATAGTAAATGTCATATTTTTTAAAAATTCGTTTAGAACATTTCCCTTAAGTAGTGAGGTGGGTAACCTCTGCCATGTGATCCATTTTTAAAAAGGCCTTTTATTCTGTTTACCATTCTGTTCTCCACTTGCACCTTCAGGTCTAACCCCTCTCGTCTCCTCTCTGACCTTTCTCCACCATCCATCTCCTTTCATTCACAGGCTAAATTGTCAACCTCACATCCCCGCTTCAAGGATGAAAACCACCAGACACTTCCTTCCCCAGACCTGTTACATCCTCCAACCATCACATCTTCTAACTCTCTCTCCCCTTTCACAGTCAAACTTCTACAAAGAGAAGGCTCTTTTACTACTTCTACTCCTTCCAATCTGGCTTGTGTTACCATCACTTCAAGGAAAAGAATTCACTTGGAGGTCACTAATGGTCTCCCTGTGGCTAAATTCAAGATACCCATCTCTGTCCTCGTTCTCCTTAACCTGTTTACAGCATTTGACATCCACATTTGCAGCCACCCCAGCAATTCAAATCATTCCATTCAATTCAATAAACATTTATGAGACACCTAATGCATGAAAGGCACTGTTCTGGGCACTGGGAATATAAAGACAAGAAAAAAGAGTCATGTAAACTCATTTCAGGCAGAAGAGCCTGGGGAGACAAGGGTCAGCCAAACCTTCCCGTTGGTGCCGGCTGAGCTGGACCAGGGAGGCAGTTGAGGAGTCTGAGAGGGACTGGGGAAGTGGGAGGGAATCCCATGGTGGGTCGCTGGCTTTTTAGTTTGGTTCAGTCCCCCAATATATCACTCTCCCCTTTACCACTCAAAGAACCATCCCTTATAACAAAGACTAAAAGAGTTTCGGGAAAATAAAGTAAGTAAAAATAAAATAATAAAATAAAAGAGAGAGAAAAGCAGTTTAAGAAAAAGGAACATATCAATCAGGGCTAACACAGTGCCCATCACCTGCCACCTCTGCAAAGAAGGGAGTGAAGAAGGTGTAGTCTCATGTGTCTTCCAACAAAGTTTGGTCATCATATTCACAGACTCAATTTTCTGTGGTCATTTTTTTTTTCATTCACAAGGTTGTAGAAAATGTGTCCACTATTCTCCTGGTTCTTCTTGTTTCAATTTGTGCCATCTAAATCTCCCACTCTTTTGGGGATTCTTTATATTTGTCATTTCGTGCTAAGCACTAATAACTCCCATTCGAACATCTCAGAAACTCTTCAACTGATGACAACTAGTTTGTTTCCAGTTCTTTATTACTACTACTACCAAAAAAAAAAAAGTGATGCCACACTCTATTGAATATCAGACCTTTCTACCTTTTACCTCATTGGGGTACATGCCTTGATACGGGATTTCTAGGTCAAAAGGTATAGATAGTGTTACTTTCTAACCATAATTCCAAATAGCTTTCCAAAATAGTTGGACCAATTTAAAGTCCCACCAATAGGGGCTTAGCATGCCTGTCTTTCCACAATCTCTCCAACACTATTACAAAGACCACAAAGGCAGGAGATGAAATGAACCAATTATCTGACTTATTTAGACTGAAAGAGAAAGTAAAGGGGAATAATATGGAATAATTCTGCAAAGACATCTGCGAATCATATTATGAAGGGAGTGAAAGCCTTAGCTAAAGATTTTGTGTTTCTATCATAAAGGCAACAGGGAACCAATGAAGATTTTTGAGCAGAGAGAGGCATGACATGGTCAGATCTGAATCTGAAGAACATCAATTTGTCAGCTGGGTGGAGAATGGTTTAGGCAAATACTGGAAGCAAGGAGACTAATTAAGAGACTACTACTGATAGTCAAGG